ATCATGTATGTACAAAAACCTTACTCATTTTTACCGGTGTGTTTGAGAAAGGGGCGGGGCGGTGGGGGCGGGGAGAAGCAAATTTTTAAAAATCAGAAACATTCCAGGAAATGAAAATGAGGAAGACTTGCCCAAATACCCTGAATAATCTAAAGCTGTCTTTTTTCCTTTCTCTCTCTCTCTCTCTCTCTCTCTTTTTTTAAACAGCTCATCTTCCTGGCTCTCCTCCAGGGCTCCGTGGCAGCAGGCAGAAGTCTGGCAGTGTGGGAGGAGACACACAGAAGCCCAGAAGCCACGGTAAGAATTAGAAGGTATTGGTTCATCTCCAGAGTGACAAGAGAGGACCTGCAGATAGCTGCTACCTGGAGGACTCAGCCTAAATATCTCCTTACACATCTGAGCGACTTAACACATTGTTGCCCCTATGGTTGATTTCTTTGATGCTTCAGATAGTCAAGCTTTAAAAAGAAAAAGGATACCCAACCAAAATTTGGTGTATCCTTGACTTCACTGGAGCCTTGGGTGCTAACCATCCTCTTCCTTTGGATCTTTTGAGCCTGTCCTCTCTTGCTTCTCCTTTTTTTTTTTTTAAAGATTTTATTTATTTATTTGACAGAGAGACAGCGAGAGCAGGAACACAAGCAGGGGGAGTGGGAGAGGGAGAAGCAGGCTTCCCGCCGAGCAGGGAGCCCGATGCGGGGCTCGATCCCAGGACCCTGGGATCATGACCTGAGCCGAAGGCAGACGCTTAACGACTGAGCCACCCAGGCGCCCACTTGCTTCTCCTTCTTCCTCTCAAAACAGTTCTAGCTCAGTCTCTTCCTCTGGCTCCTGTTCCTTCTCCTGACTCCTAAGAGGTGTTGTTCCCTGAAAAGATATGACGGGCTACTTTCTGATTCCTCTCCACACTCTTTGTTGCCAATGTCAACAGCTCCCTTGCATCATGTGCATGTACCTCTAAGCAGATTCCTCCCTACAGCACTCTGGTCCCTGTCTTCAAGCTGCATTCCAGACATCAGCACACCATCATCATCATCATCCTATTAATACATGTTTTATGAATACTTAATTGCCAAGCAATAAGCTAAACCCTTTATAGGCATTGTCTCATTTTAACCCTTATCAATGTATAGATGGGGAGCTGAGACTTAAAGAAGCCAAATAAATAAGATGCCAAAGATCACAGAGTGGGATGCAAAGTACAAATGAACTCCAAGTCCTCTGGACTCCAAAGCCAGTATTCTTGACCAGAGCAATCTGATTGTCTCACCAGGACTTTAAACTTAATATATCCCACGCTGAACTCATCTTTACTCCCTCGCCTTTGCTCTCCTCAAATGTCCTTATTTGTAATGGTGTTACCATTATCTGTCCTAACATAAAAACTCAAAACCTGGCACCATCTTGATTTCTCTCTTTACCCTCTTGTTAAATCAATTTCTAAGACTTAACAATTTCACCTACAGGCTCTCTACCACCTCTTCTCTGCAGTCCCACACTTTGTTCCCTGATCCAAGTCCTGTTGCCTTAACTCTGCAGTTTCTGGCTTGGAAATACAATCACATTCACAGTGGCTGTCCTGAAAAAAGAAAGCTAAGACAACAGGATATGCAGTGATGCTAGTCTTCACTGATCTCTCCATATTGTGACGTTTTACAGCATTTATTGTCTCTACTTTGCATTTTGGAACTCAATCAAATAGTTCTGCATTGTTATTTAACTGTCATGTATGCAGATACTTATATGCTTCAAGGAACCCAGGGTGCCTTTGGTACCAAACAGCAGGAGCCTATGGGTCTTCTCTCTAGAGCACAGTCATATGGACTCTGCAGTGCCCAGTCTCCCTCTTTTCGTTCCAGATTTTAAATTCCTGGAAAAGAGACACGATTGTCCTGGCCTGGGTCCTGTGCTGACCCCTTGATCAATCAGCTTTGGCTAAGCAGCAGGTCAGCCTTGTCTAAATACAGCAATTAGAGCCTCTCCTATAAATAGGGCATGTTTTCAGAAAAGAAAAAGGCATACACCATTGTTTACTTGTTAATTCATTCATTCCATCAACAAATAGTTGAGCACCCTCTCAAAATATATGCAGGGTTTTTTGCATGTATGCAAAATGTTTAAAACATAACCCTACCCTCACACTATGAAACTCATAACATAAAAAGATAAGAAATTGCTGGAGTGGTGGGGGGTGGGAGGGATGGGGTGGCTGGGTGATAGACATTGGGGAGGGAATGTGCTATGGTGGAGGGTATGTGCTATGGTGAGCACTGTGAATTGTGCAAGACTGTTGAATCACAGATCTGTACCTCTGAAACAAATAATACCTTATATGTTAAAAAAAAAAAAAAGAAGAAGATAGCAGGAGGGGAAGAATGAAGGGGGGGAAATCGGAGGGGGAGACGAACCATGAGAGACTATAGACTCTGAGAAACAAACTGAGGGTTCTGGAGGGGAGGGGGTTGGGGAAATGGGTTAGCCTGGTGATGGGTATTAAAGAGGGCACGTTCTGCATGGAGCGCTGGGTGATATACGCAAACATTGAATCATGGAACACTACATCAAAAACTAATGATGTAATGTATGGTGATTAACATAACATAAAAAAAGAAAAATCACCAGATAAAAAGCATAACAATATTCACCCGTAAGAGACCCTCGATTCAATTATACATGATGGAAAATAATTCAGCACACCCTGCATGAGCCTGTGGTGGTAAAAGTAAACAGTAATAATGTGTGCATGGTCAACAAAACAAATTCACAACAACACCATGAGGAATAGAAACAGAAAATAACCTACACGTCCATCAGTGATAGACTAGATCAACAAAGTAGTGTATTCACCCAAATGAATACTTTACAGCAAGGAGAATGCCCTACAAATATATACAATACTGATGAATCTCATAAACAATGTTTTGTTTTGTTTAGTTTTTAAGATTCGTGCACAGTTTGGGGCACCTGGGTGGCTCAGTCGTTAAGTGTCTGCCTTTGGCTCAGGTCATGATCCCAGGGTCCTGGGATCGAGTCCCACATTGGGCTCCCTGCTAAGCGGGAAGCCTGCTTCTCCCTCTCCAACTCCCCCTGCTTGTGCGCTTTCTCTCTCTCTCTCTCTTGCTCTCTCACTGTCTCTGTCAAATAAATAAATAAAATCTTAAAAAAAAAAAAGATTTGTGCACAGTTTTTTTTTTTTTCTCTTCATTTCTTTAGGAAAAACATTCAGAGTTCAACTGCTAGGTTGTGTGGTATTTGCATGTTTATTTTTTTGTGGTTTTTTTTTTTTAGTGCAAAAGGTGTTGTTTTTTTTTAATTATTATGTTATATTAATCACCACACATTACATCATTAGTTTTAGATGTAGTGTTCCATGATTCATTGTTTGCGTATAACACCCAGTGTTCCATTCAATACGTGCCCTCTTTAATACCCATCACCAGGCTAAACCATCCCCCCACCCCCCTCCCCTCTAGAACCCTCAGTTTGTTTCTCAGACTCCATAGTCTCTCATGGTTCGTCTCCCCCTCCGATTTCCCCCCCTTCATTCTTTCCCTCCTGCTATCTTCTCCTTTTTTTTTTTTAACATATAATGTATTATTTATCTCACAAACAATGTTAAGCAAAAGAAGCCAGACATGAAAAAGTACATAGGCTATGATTCCATTTGTACAAAGTATCAAAACTGGCAAAACTAATCTACCTGTAAGGAGCAGTGACCAGAGGGGAGCAAAAGGGGCTACATGCGTGCTGGTCACCCTCTGTTTCTTGAGCTGCATGCTGATTACACTGGTTATCAGTTTATCAAAATTCATCAAGTTGTACACTTATGTTAGTGTCCTTTTCTATAGGTATATTATCTTCCATAAAAAGATTTTTCAAATAAGTAATTCATGCTCAAAACGAGGAGCCTTTAGGCACCCTGGAACATTGTCACTATGAATATCCTAGCATTGCCAATTATCACCACCCCGCCCCCACCATTACACCACCTCCTTAGAGACCCCAAGCCACTCTCAGCCTTTGGAAATAGCCACCATTCTTATCTCAAGGCTTCATCCCTTCCAGCCCCAGCTGATTGGACTTCTTCTTATCTGGAAACTTGGGAGCAGAAGTCAGGTGATAAGAGTGCTTCATCTAATAAATTGTATGGATTTGGAGGAAAGAATTTCTGGATATAGGCAAGTGATAGGCCAAGAACGCTGGTCTGCAGAAAATAGAGCCAACATACAGAGGGAAGCTAGCAAGCCTGTGGGAGATGGAGGGAGAAGCCTCAGAGGCTGCTCACTCTCCAGTTCTGGTCACATATATCCCAGCTGTCACTGGGTATCCGTGGGATTGCTCAAGTAAATAGCTTTACTATTAAGAAAAGAAAAGAAAGAAAAGAAAACCTTACTTATTTAAGCTAGTGTGAATACATTTCTGTTTGTGGAATGTATTATCTCATTTAGTTCTTCTAACAATGCTGCATAGTAAGTACCGTTACGATTCCCATTTCACAACTGAGAAAACTGAAGCCCAGAAAGGTTATGTAACTCGTCCAAATCACACAGTTGGTCACTGGTGGTGCCAGGATTTGGACCCAAGTAGTCTGACTCTGGAGCCTGAAATCTAACTATACTACACTGCAGTGCAAGAGAAATGCTGAAAATGACAATGTGAATTGTATGTTGCATTAATGGATTTAACGGAAGCCTCTGATTCTGTTAAATGAGTTCAAACGTAGAAATGGTACAAAGATTGAAAGACTGGCTGCCTAAGAAGTTGGTATTTATTTCTTTCACAAGGGAATTATACTTGGAGTCGTAGATGTTAGAGAGAAAATGCATGTAGTGTGACAGATTATACTAATGAGACTGTGATGTTATACCAGGAAATTTATTTTATAGATTTCAGTAGAGAACTCCCTTAGAAGATCCCCGCTGATTACCTATTTTTCCCAAAATGTTAATCTCCAGGAGAAGGGAGGTTTACTCTTATGGAAAGAGAAATCGATAAAAGTTAACTTCAAGTCTTAGAGGGAGAGAGACGCCGGTGGTCACTTTCCATGATGATGACTGCCAGACCCACAATCCACTCAGCAAGGCTTCCAGATCAATCACCAGCAAGCCACTGGTGACCCCCAGCAACCTTCAAAAGGATTCAGGAATTATGAGTGAGTTTAAGTCAGATAAGAACTTGTTCTATCTGTAGTGCTTTGATTTTAAAGGAAAGTGCTGACAGCCACTATTCAAGATCTTTTCTATATATAAATGATTGAGCAATTTTGTGGTTTATAATTAGAACAATGCATGACAATTTCTAGATTGGAGTTCCAAGGTTACTCTTTTCTTTGGTCCATCAATGCTAAAAAGATGAAAGGTCATCTTCTGAGGCTCCATGGATAGCACTCACCAGCCTGCTAAGTGGCTCACTCTGAAAGTCCTGGCTTTGATGTTATCCTTTAAAAGAGGCTGTCTTTTATCTCGCAAAACCTGGAATAGTTTGGATGGTTTGCAAATAAATTGTACTAAGAACACTCAGTTAACATAACCTCTAAGACAGAGCACACATTATTGTCAAAAAAAAGGATTTGTTGGGGCGCCTGGGTGGCTCAGTCAGTTAAGCGCCTGCCTTTGGTTCAGGTCATGATCCCGAGGTCCTGGCTCCCTGCTTCCCTGCTCCACAGGGAGCCTGATTTTCCCTCTCCCCCCTGTTTATGCTCTCTCTCTTTCAAATAAATAAATCTTTTTTTAAAAAAAGGATTTAACTCCTTGCCTCATGTCATAGTACTCATGGCTGTGAAAAAGAAATTTTGTACTAGTTTCACATTCATTAGGAAGCTTGGCCTGGCTCAAACCTGTTATCTACATAAGACACGTAATCTGTAATGACCAGTTAACATTCTCAAAATTAGCTATCATCCCTAAAATATAATGTATCTGTCTCTAAGGTCCCTTCTTCCTCAAGTGCTGTCTGTTTTATGACTTCTTATTCTCTCCCCACCATGTCAGCATAGCTTTGCAGGGGCAGTCATGTTTGATGGTCGGTAGATAACAAAATGTCATCAAAATGTCCTAAGCTTGCTCCCAGAAGTTCCAAATAATGGTACATATGTTCCCCCATGGCAAAAATACAGGCACCTAACATTTACCCTAACTTATGCCAGTGAGTAGCAAAAATGTGCTCAGTTAGACACAACATGCCACGACACGGCATGTCTGAGTGTCTGCAGAATTTAGCATGAGAGTTGTAACCAGAAAAAAAAGAAGAAAAATTAGGGAGAGCATTGACAGCTGAGTTCCAATGTCTCACTCTATGCAGCTCTATGACTTCAGGATTGTCCTTATACCAAAAAAGCTACCCATAGATTAAAAAAATCAAATGCTCGCTACTTTCATTTAAAAATACCTCAAGTAAACTAAAGCACTCCAATTGAAAATTGGCAAAATGTCATAGAAGTACTTACAGAACATCAATTTCTTATAACCAATTTGGTTATAAAATCAAAACTGAAAGCATAATTTATAAAAGTAATAATGCTAAACAAACTTTCTAAAACTTTAAAAATATATATATAACTTGGTAATAACATGGAGTTCATGTATATTAAAAAAAAAAAAAAAACAACCAAAAACAGTAGTTTCTACCAGATTATCAAGAGAAAAATGTGTAGGTTTTAGGGGCGCCTGGGTGGCTCAGTCGTTAAGCGTCTGCCTCTGGCTCAGGTCATGATCCCAGGGTTCTGGGACTGAGCCCCGCGTTGGGCTCCCTGCTCCACAGGAAGCCTGCTTCTCCCTCTCCCACTCCCCCTCTCTCTCAAATAAATAAATAAAATCTTTAAAAAAAAAAAAAAAAAGAAAAATGTGTAGGTTTTAAACCAACTCATGAATGTTTACAGTAAGATTTTATTGAAGAGAAAGTTTTTCACTATTTTCCTAAATATTGCTCAAGTTTAATTCTCAACCTAAATGAGAAGAGCATGATTCTAGTGGGATTCAGTCAATGCCAGAACAAGCTAATCATTGATCCCTTCCTCAGTCCATGCCTTCAGCCTTGCAAACACTGCCATAGGTCAAAAATGAAACCAAATGAAAATGGTTTATTTCTACAAATCCATCAATTCTGAGGGCTACAACTAACAATCCAAAGTTCACCTCTAATGGATAGTGTCAGATATTTCATCTTTTTTATATATATTTTATTTTTAAGTAATCTCTACACCCAACAGGGGCTTGAACCCACAACCCTGAGATCAAGAGTGCTCTGCTGACTGAGCCAGTCAGTGCCCCCACATAGTTCATCTTCTGTAATAGGGACACAAATAATAACATTGTGTGGGTTATAAAGAAATGCATACCTATAAAATGAAGAGGTGATTATTTAGAAAAAGGATGAATGAATGTAAAATATACTAAATATGAAAATATTTTAAAAGTTCAAACATCACCATGCATTTGTATTACTTTTAGGTACATTTAAATATGCTGCAATAGTGGTCAATTTGTTTATATTTCATCTTTAATTATCTTAAATAATAAACATCTAAATATTGGTAGGAACACAAATTAACAGCAAAAAAACACAAAAACTGATAAATATTTGCCAGTTCTGTTGCTCCCTTCCAACTCACAAGCATAATTTTATAAAATTGCTATCTTTATGTATCAACCATTTCAACTTCTTCTTTTTGCACTTACTTTGAATGGATTGTTGCGTGTTTCTACATGATTCTCATACTCATCACTAAAGGTACTAGAACATTCCATGTCTGTTCTCAGTAGTTCCTGAATGACAGTCTGTGGACCAAGATAGGATGAAATTTTTGTCAGTCCACAGTTAAATGAGAAAAGCAAAGGCAAGTTATTGAGCTTTTAATAAAGCTAAATTTATTCAATTTAAAGATTGTCCTTTATTTGGAGATTATGTCCTTTCCCCTTTCTTATGTCAAAATTCCTTTTTATAAAATAGAAGTGATGGTAAATGGCAGCTTTTTATTTATTTATTTTAAGATTTTATTTATTTGAGAGAGAGAATGAGAGAAAGAGAGCACATGAGGGGGGGGAGGGTCAGAGGGAGAAGCAGACTCCCTGTTGACAGGGAGCTCGATGCGGGACTCAATCCTGGGACTCCAGGATCATGACCTGAGCCGAAGGCAGTCGCTTAACCAACTGAGCCACCCAGGCGCCCAAATGGCAGCTTTTTAAAAATCTTCCCTACATGACAAAATCCCGAGACATATTTTAGTGCCCCACCACCACCAATTATTTGTTATTTTACCCAGTCCTAGTATTATTAAATCCAGAAGTCAACTAACTCTCAAACTACACCCCCTTCGTATGGGATGTAGTTCGACACATTTTAAGGTATGAGCTCACACAGAGACACACACACACACAAAATGTTTTTGCAAAGACTCCTGTGGTAACCAGCCTCCAAAATGTCCCCAGTGATCTCTGCCCCTAGTATTCACACCCTCATATAGTCCCCTTCCATACTGTACCACAGATGATCTATGACCAACCAAACACTGCGGAAGTGATGGTATGTCACTCCTAAGATCAAGTTACAGAAGGCATTTCAGCTTTCACTGTGGTGGTTTTCTTTCTTCGATCACTCGCTCTGAAAGCAGCTAGAGGCCGTGTCATGAGCAACACTGTAGAGAAGCCCATGTGGTGAGGAACTGAAGCTTCCTGCCGGCAACCATGTGAATGGGATTGGAAGCAGATCCTCCAGCCCCAGTCTGGCTTTCAGATGACACAGCCCATGAACGATCCTGAGCCAGAACCACCCAGCTAAGTTGCTCCCAAATGACTGACCTGCAAAAACTGAGAGATAATTAGTAGTTGTGTTTTAAATTACTACATTTGAGGTCATTTGTTATGGGACAACAAATAACTATGCGACTCCTTTGTCCTTTTTCAGCTGAAAGATGAATAGCTATCTAGCCCCAGGGTGGTGCCGAAACTGCTGAGCATGTGTGTATTCATGTCTGTGTTGGGGGAGAGAAAGGATTAGCAAGGACTGTGATCTCCAGTATCCTGACTTTAGTTTACTTATGCTGACTTTTTCCTTCTCCATTGCTTTTTCTACTTTTCTCATATTGACCAGAGCACTCAGTAAACTGAATCATCCATCTCCAGCAAGAGAATCAATTCTACACTTTTGTAGACTTAGTTTAAGGAATCATTCTATGTAAATATGGTATTTTATCATAGTTTAGAAACCCAGTAAATTTCTATTGACAGAAACCCTCACCTTAGCTGTCAGACCTCTCCTAGACCCATCCCTACCTCAACAGAAGAGCATATCTCATATTCGCTGAGAAAATAGAAGCAACAGACATAATCCCTTTAAGTTCTCTCCTCCCACATTTAAACCATCTTTAAGTACTGAGGTGAAAAGATTATTGTTTTAGCAGCTGATGCCACAGTTCCTCTCAGGGATAGAAAATGCCTTACTGAAGAAACTACCTTGGTATGACACTTGGAGTATGGAAGAAGAAAGCTTGGCTTGTAATAAAATTGTGAAACAAAGAGATCAATAAACAGATCTGCATTTTAAAAAAGAAGAAGAATATGAAGACTGGAACAGGGCAAAGAGGAGAGGAAATGGGAGGAGTGTAAGGAGAGATGGCGTGGGAGGTTGAAGCTTAGGGAGAGAGTTCCAGCGATGGGCGAGCTGAAAGCATGTTTAAAATAGAAATTTCTATTATTGGACTTCACGTTGTTTTGTGTTGCTAAGGATATAAAATCCCTGAAGACTTCAGTAATATCTGATACATGCACAAATGCCTTATGTGAGTGATTTGGGGGAAATATAGGAAAAAAGACGCAGAGGGGACTGGTCTGAGTTCTACAGCTGGTTCAACATGAAACCAAGGAATAGGAACATGGAAACTGAATTACAAGTGAGATGAAGAAGTGGATGAAGAGTGGAAGCAGAAACTCAAAAGCCAAAGAAACCATACGATGGACTTCCAGGAATTAACAAAAATCTTGGAGTAGACATTGAACTTTCGAATGAAGTCCCAATGTGGAATGGGAACTTTTTTAAGTAAGCCAATTTTACTTAAATCTAAAAAAAAAAAAAAAAAAAATCTACCTTAGCTGACATCTGGGTCCATATTCATGGTTCTTCTCTCATCTGTTCTGGTCTTTTACAAAAAAGAGATGTCCAAAACTGGGCACTCTGTTTTTTAAGGTGCTCTGATATCCTTCCATCCTGTGACCTTGCTCCATCAATTATTCTCTTTAATACATATAGTCAGTACTCTCCTCACTACCGGGATTTCCCCCACTGTTTATACCCAGGCTCAAGCCCAAACTACCACCATCTTGCAACACCAGATTTGAACTCTAAAAGATTTAGATTTTGAATCCTTGATCTACTATTAGTAGTATAAACTTTGGGCTTATTACTTAACCTGTATATACTCTCTTGGCTAAAATTTCCTCAGCAGAAAATGGGGATAATAATAGTAATATGCCCCACAGGAGTGTGGTAAGGATTAACTTGGTTAATGAGTGTAAATTGTCAGCCCAGTGCCGGGCAAATAGTAAGCCCTCTTAACTGTTATCATCATCCTCATTTACCAGAATTCTCAAGAGTCATCTCTACTCTATGTCCACTCCTCTACCACCGTTCATTCTGTAATATCCAGAAGGCTGGCTTCTGCCAAACTACTAAAATTGCTTTCATTATGGTAACCAGAGACCTCCTCATTGAGTAAATGCCAATGAATCTTTTCAGGCCTCCCTTTGCAATTCTTCTGCAGCACTTGGTAGTCCTCGTCACCCAGCTTCTTGAAATGGTCCAATCCTGGCTTCTCATAACATCACTCTCTCACCACCTTTTCTCTTTTTTCCCCACTGACTCTTCTTTCCCCACCACCTTTAAATGTAGGTGTGCCAAGAATTCTGCCCTTCGCCATCTTCTGTTCTCATTCAGCACTCACTGGGTGCATGGATTCATGACTTTAGCAGCCAAATCTCTACCGTGAGCCCAGACCCTTCTTTTGAGCTCTTGAGCCAAAATGCCCACTAGGTATCTCACCCTAGGTGTTTCATAAACCCACCCATCTAAACCACATTTATAGGTACTGTTAACACAACCATCATTTTCTCTGACTTCCCCAGTTCTTTCCCTTCCCTAGTAGTCATTTTCATAATTAACACCAGCTGTGATCATTCCTGTCTCCATTCCTCATGACCTCACTGTAGTTCTGAGTGGGCCTTAGAGTCACATGGGCCTGGGTCTAAATATTAACTACAATGGTTCTTGGCCAAATTACTCAACCTCTCTGACCTCAGGTTTTTGTAATAGCAAAATGGCCAGCGCATAGTAGGAATTCAGCAAACATTTCCCTACACCCCTTCCTTCAGGTCTCTTCACCACCTGCTGCAGTGCATTATCTGCCTATTTGGTCTCTCTTGCCCTTTTCTCCTCCAAATTGCCCTAGAGTTCATCTTTCTAAAAAAATAAATGTGATACTATTATCTCTTTGCTTAAAAATCTTCAACATTTTCTTTTTTCCTATGGAACAAAGTCCAAATTCCTTAACATGATAAGTTCCAACTGGCTTTCTGGTCCCTTCTCCTCCAGACCAGTTACTCTAAAATATTGGCTGTTCGCCAACTATTTCATGTACATATTGGCTTACATCTCTGCACATGCAGATCCCTTTGGCTATAATTCCCTTCCCACGCCCAAGTTCTTTTGTCCAACTGGCAAGCTTCTTTATCCTCCTCAAGACCTACCTGCAAAGCTGTCAGTTATATGACAACAAAAGCTCAGCCACCAAAAACAGAAAAAAAGCTAAAAAGTTTCTACACAGCAAAGAAAACAATCAATAAAATGAAAAGGCAATCTCCAGATTAGGAGAAAATAGTTGCAAACCATATATCTGATGAGTTAATATCTAAAATATATAAAGAACTCCTACAACTCAGTGGGAAAAAACAACAACATTAAACAACCCTATTAAAAAATGGAAAAAATCTTGAATAGACATTTTTCCAAAGATGATACACAATGGTCAACAAGTACAAAAAAGGTGCTCGGCATCACAAATCATCAGGGAAATGCATATCAAAACCATAATGAGATATCATCTCATACTTGTTAGGATGACTATTATCAAAAAAATAAGAGATGACAAGTGTTGGTGAGGATGTAGAGAAAAGAGAACCTCTGTACACTGTTGGTGGGAATATAATTTTGGTACAGCCATTTTGGAAAACACTATGGAGGTCACCACACACCCCCCTCCAAAGAACTATTCCTTAAAAACAAAACTACTGGGGAGCCTGAGTGGCTCAGTCAGTTAAGCGTCTAACTCTTGATCTCAACTCAGGTCTTGATCTCAGGGTTCTGAGTTCAAGCCCTATGTTGGGCTCCATGCTGGGTGTGGAGCCTACTTTAAAGAAATTTAATTTAACTTAATTTAATTTAATTTAATTTAATTAAAAAAAAAAACAGAACTACCATATGATCCAGCAATCCCTAGTCTGGGTATACATCCAAAAGAAGTGAAATCACTACCTCTAAGAGATACATGCACTTCCATGTTCCCTGCAGCATTATTCACAATAGCCAAGATAGGGAAAAAAACTTAATTATCCATCGATGGACAAATGCATTAAAAAGTAGTGATATACAGGGCGCCCGGGTGGCTCAGTCATTGAGTGTCTGCCTTCGGCTCAGGTCATGATCCCAGGGTCCTGGGATCGAGTCCCACATCAGGCTCCCTGCTCAGCGGGAAGCCTGCTTCTCCCTCTCCCACTCCCCCTGCTTGTGT